TGTAAAGAGTTGGGGCAGACCAGCAAGTATAAGCTCTAGAAGTATAGGTAGTTTCAGGGGTTTTTTTAAGTTAAATGGGAAAAACAAAGTTATGCTTGGCTAAGAGGGTCACAAATATGCCTGCCTACTCATTTAGTATAGCACTGATTAGAAAACTGAAGGAAGGATGCACAAAATGCTCCAGTCTTCCCTAACTACAGCATGAGCACTGGGCTTAACAGAGACTAATCTTTTGTCTTAAACTTGTAACTTTATTTATGCAACAGTCATCGGGTACACCTTGTAAATTGCAGGGATTTGAATGATCACTTCATATAAGACTACAGCAATAAAATTTGGCATTTCTTTCTTTATTCCTGGCTTCCACATCTTATTAGCTGGACTCAGGGAAAGGAAAAAAACCCAAACTCATAACTGGTGTACTTATAATATGCTTATTTTGTGAGTACTGTATGTGTGAATTAACTCCAACAATTCGTTATGGCAGAGCTAATTCAGGAGTGTGTAACAGTCTCTTCTTGGAAAAGAGCTGATTTTTTGTCGAAATGAGTCAGATGCTTTAAGTGAAAGAGCTCAACTTGGCAGCTTACTAAAATTAGACCAGTATCTGTTACTATCAGGTAGCAGGATAAAGTAACCACACTTGATCTAGAGTTCAATTTGACTGATTCTAGGATGCACACAGTCAAAACTGAGCCGGTACTCTGATACTGTAGCTACATAGCTGATAGGAGCCCTGGGCCACTGGAGAGCATGGCAGCCTCCGCTCTTCCCTGTTGGCATCACCAGCTAGTGGGGTTATGGAGGGAACAGATCTGGCTAAAAATGACGTTTTTACTTGGCTCCGCATCTGTATGCACAAGTTGTAATGCTGGCCCATGGCAGGCCATTTTCACTGCTGGACAGGCATCTGTTTTTGAAAGAACTGAGCTGTGGTGTTTACCATCCAGTCTACTGGAAGCTCTTCCTAGTGACTGCTCTTACCTCCGACATGCAGAACTACTGTAAATAGTTGTTTGAGGCTTTATTTAAAGTTCTCTACAGCTAGTATATAAGCACCATATAAAATCCTTTGTGATGTGTAATTACTACACATAACTAACATGGAATTTAGTCATATCAGTATTAGAAAAAACTTACAAAAACCGGACAGTATCTCTTTTCTTTTTAAATTTGAAACTATAGGCTTTGGATGCTCCTTCCTTTGTTAGGAAATCTTAACGTTACATGCTAATGAGACTGTTCTTATTTGCTCTTGCAACGTATAAATAGCCATTACAAGAAGGCTATCCTAAAGTTGGCTGTATTACCAGTGCCTCTTGATCTGTATCTTTTCACTTATTGATGGACATTGCATTTTGAATATTCATGACTTAACATGGAGAAGAATAAAATGTTCTTGGCTTGAAGAAACATGCATGATGTATCTCCTAAGGTTAATTGTGCAGAGCATTACACAAGGATAATACCTAATAACTTATAGAATAACTTATAAGAATAAGTAATTAGGGTAGGATCCTCATGTTGAGTATAGTGATAAAAGGACAAAAACCCTATCCGTTCAGATATCTACATAACTTACTGTAGTTATTTGTTCTTGGATAAGGAGTATTTTCTGTGAGTTACTATTGAAATAGTGTATAAGTAGCAAAGGATGGAGATAACTTTTGTCCTTTTATTAAAAAGGGACATGTTAGACTATGGATTTCCACTGGCAGTCTCAGCTGAGGGACATATTTGCCATTCGGAAGCAGAATATTTATAAAATACTTGCCTTTCCTTGACTTCAGTTAAAACTTTCATTCATTGATGGCACTGCTATATCCATTTTTTCCTTCCTTCCCTCCAGCTAAATGGGATTGGGACTGCAGTCATTGCTAACAAATGCAGTTTGTGCCTTTCCTTCAGAGCTGACATGGCTGTTACCTTAGTGGGTGTGGTAGGGGTCTGCCACCTAAGCTTGTCCCATGGTGCCTACCTAGATCAGACCATTATAGAAGGAGGGGAAATGTGCTGTTTCCTACAGTGTGCAAGAAAATACCACATGCGGTTTTAATGCTGCATATCAGATGGGTTTTGGAGTACTTGTAGTACTGCTGCTTGTGACTGTCTGACCATGAAAGTGTCTTGTTCATGTATTCCCTTCAAGACATCCCCTTAAGGAGCTACAGCAGCAGATGGTGAACGTTCAAAGGGAGCACACCCATGGCGCTGCATTTAGGAACTGTCAAAGGCCACCTGTTTTTACAGGAGAGAAGATAATAGAGCATGCCTCATTAACACAGTGGTATGCCATCTGCCCTTTGCCACAAAATTGGAGATTCTAAGCTTTGTATGATTTTCATGATTACTAAGATGGCTTTAATAATGTTAAAAAAAAATTAAACAACGCTTCCTTAAATCCATGGAAGGCTTCAGGCGATGACTGGAAAACAGCAAGACTGTTAGTGGTTTCACTGCAAAGCATTCTCTCACAAATACCAAGCTAGCATGCTTATTGTGGTAAAATAAGCCTTCCTCTCTATGCCTGTAATGGAGAAGTTGATAGAAGAACCAGAGAAATTCATATTATGAACCCCTACAGCAAGTTTTCCTTAACACTGAGAAACTTTGCAATTAGTTCTTTTCTCTCCTCCATTTATCCACCACTCTGACTTCCCTACTAGTCACTTTTTCTTTCCATCCAGAAGTACACCTTGAAAATAGGTCAGTAGCCCTCTCCCTTACCTCCTGTGTTGTTTGGGTTTTGGTTTTTTTTTTTTTAGGACCCCTCACCTGGCAGTATTAGAATACCTGAGAGGTGGGGGCAAAGAAAAAATGTGGTTTATAGTGGGAGGGCAGGAGCAGCTGAAGTTGGCACTGCCTTTGAGCAGGCTGCCTGGACTACTGTTTCCTAACAGTGTTAGGAACAGCAGTAAGCAGACCTGCTGCTGTCCATCTGTGGAAAACCTGTTCTTCCAGTTGTGCTGATACTGTATCTCAATAACAGCACCTTATTGTGCATGATCGGGCAGGGCAAGGGCTGTTGCTTTCCCCATTGCAGGACCCTACTGGCCAGCCACAAACTCTAATGGAAATAATGCATAAATTAAGTATCAGATCCTCGTATTGCATTTCAAAGTAATTCAATACAGTAGCTATGCCAATTCTCTCTGCATGTGGTGGGTTTGCCAGTGCTTTTGCTAAAATACAAGGCATGTCACAGGATTGATTTTTTTTTTATTTTTTTTTTCCTTAATTTACAGAACTAGGAAGTGACAGAGTCCAAAGGGTTTCTCAAGTCACAAACCAGGAAATGTACTCACAGCCAGCCATCTATCTGGTTTCTACTTTGTAAACCTCCCTAACTCTCAATCTTTTTTATGGACTAAAAGAAAACTTTGCACCTTTGATATATCCCACAGATGCTGCTTCAGCAGTAATACAGCTGATGTTAAAGGAATAAGTTATAAAAGAATTAAAACTAAATTCATTAAACTGAATCTACAGATTTTAATCCTATGGCATGAGTGGAGAGGACAAATGCTTTTTAATACTCTTAAGCTTCACATTATCAGGCTTACAGTTGCTAGCATTTCCTTCTAAAACTTCTTATGGTGCTAATCTGGAACTTAACGAGTCCAGAGTCTCCACCTCACTACTTTTACTGAAGGAAGCACATGTGCATCTTTCTTTCAACTTCCTATTTTTAGAACTGTATAAACTTGAACTGCATTCTCCTAGCAGTTGGAGAACAAAAACCCCGTTAGCCATTATGCAGGAAGCCCAAGACTTTACTAGAGGTTGCTCCACCCTGTTCTTAATACTGTAGTCTGTGTCAGAATTTGCAAGTCCTGTAGGAATGGGTTTATAGAGCAAAACAATTGGTGATGCAGATATGTAGTCCTCACTGTACGGGGTGGGGGGTACTGGATCTCCTCTGCTTCTGTAGACCAAGTGCTTGTTAATAGTTAGAGCAAATCTTACGGTTTACCTTTTCAAAGAGGAATCTAGCACACATACATTATGAGTAAAGAAAGATATTTTGAGATTCACTTCAAAATCCTCAACTAGATTTAACATTTCTATCTAGATGCTGTTTGCACTAGTAGGTGCTGCTCTGTTATGATCCCAGTAAGAAAGGCATTCAGATTCTGTAAAGCTTCATTTAAAATGCTACTTATTAGAGCTAACACTATAAAGAGAGAGAGAATAGTATAGACACCCTTATGTCGCTGTAGATGCTGGGAACCTTGAGTTGGGCAGCACTGAACGAGCCTCCAATCCACACACAGCACACTCTGCAGACCTCATCTGTAGACAAGGTTATCCCATTTTGATAATTCAAGCTATTGCAGGATTTTTCTTTCAAGACAGCAACTCTGTTCGTTGCTCCCACTGTCAAAGAGGGAGGATGTTCACTGTTAGATACAGGCAAGGCCATGCAGGTGGTGTAATCGCTGGTACCCAGTGGGAGCTGCCTAGGGGATCGTCTGTTTCAGTGAGATGAATTTATCCCGTGACTAGGGAATTTGTGCAGCACAGCACAGGCCTGAAAGCCAGGCTGTATGTGTGGCACAGACCTGCTCACTCAGGTTAACTCTTATACGGATCACTAATGCTTCGATGTACAATAGTCTTCTGGTCAGGATTACCACAATGCATCCAGAACTGAAACTCGCCAAAGAGTATCCCCTCTCCTCCCTGTCCTATGGACTGTCTCATGAACAAGGTCAGGATGCTCATGTTTTTTGTTTGGGTTTTTTTTTGTAATCACAGAGCTAGACATAGTTTGAGTATCTTTTCTTTTTGAAGTCTGATGTAGGGAAAAGCTTTGCTGTTCAAAGATCTTGGGCACATTGTCTGTATGATAGATACTACTTAGTTCTCTTCTGTAGAGCATATAGAGTAATTAAATTATGAGGATTCACATGTAAAAACAAACCTGAGTCATAAAAACTTCACCATTATACATGAGACTGATGCTACTGATCTGCTCACTTGTTTCGTTTTCTTTACAGAATCAAGGCCATTGAAAGTCCCAACAAAGATGATGACACACAGTGGCTGACTTACTGGGTTGTGTATGGTGTTTTCAGCATAGCAGAATTCTTCTCTGATATCTTTCTGTCCTGGTTCCCTTTCTACTACATGCTAAAGGTATGTTAGTTCATGTGACCCCTTTCCTAAATTGAGGCCTTTGATATAACTGATTTAATGTCTTCAAGAATGGATACATGACAACAGATTCCCTTGGAATCATTCCTGGGTCACACCTTATTTTTAGATGCTGGTTGCATGTAATTTAGCACTATGAAAGTGATCTGTTTACAGCTGATGGTTTTGTGAGGCAAGAGGGGAAATTGGGATGGGTGGCAGGGAAAGGTCTGCCATGTTTTAGGAAAAAAGAGGCAGTGTAGCTGTACTGTGGAAAGGCAGTTTTTTGTCTTGGTGTTCAGGTAAATTTGGGCAAAATGACAGCACATGGTAAACCCTACAGAGTGGCTCTATTTTTGCTTTAAGTGCATTAGCGAAAGTGGAGAGTAAAATCACAAAGGCAGCAAAAGAAAGTATTAACATCTGTGCTGTTGGGAAAGAAATTGCAACATAAGAATAGTTTGACTCATACAGCCTTCATTTTTAATTAAGCCTACTTTCCTGAAAGAAAATGGGAGGTATCAGAGGAGCTTGTTGCTAATGTGCATTTGTTAGTGTGGTTTGACTACCAACAACGATTTGCTTAATGTGTTCCAAGCTTTGTTTGTCAACTAAGGTGTGAGTGTATTGTCAATCAACTTTAACATGTTAAATTATTCTAGGAGATAGCCAATTACCATGTATGCTGTTGGGTAGAAGACATTCTAGCTTGCTGGAGAGTCAGTTGTTTAGCTTAAAGAACTGTTACCTATTTTCTGTTTAAATGGGCTGTTCTATTCCTTCTCTTTTGCTTTGTTAGCCTGGTTTAGCCCCACCAAAATTCTTTAAAGGATTTGCTTGCCAGCTATTGTGGGGGGGTCGTATAAAATTATAACGGTAAGGTCTGATGTTGCCAAATGCTTTTTCCAGGAAATCCCACATTTTAAAGACAACAATTGACTTCGACAGCTCAGTTACACTTCTGCATTGTTCCTTTTGAACCTTTAACAGGCATCAACTTGTGCAATCATTTGGACACTTTTCCCTAGCTCCCTAAGGAAAAGCACATATTTGAACTGCTTCAAACTAAAAATATTCTGGCCTGTCTCACAAAGTTAATTCTCTCTCCCCCACACTTTATTTTTTTCCCTTAATCAAAAATGAAAATATGTTTTCAATTTTAAGCTTAATGGTTTTGCAAAGTTTTTAAGTTTAGCATGGGTAACACATATGTGAAAGTTTTACTGCTTTAATGTATTAAGACCAAGCCAAATAGTGATCAAAGTGCAAGTTCATCTGATCTGAATAGCATCCAAAAGGATTGTTTATGGCGCTGGAAAAATCTGTTCTTAACCACTTACGCAGTTATTTCACGTCCCCAACTTCACCTTACAGTTTAGCAGGATTATGACTTTACCCATTGTCTGCAGTGATGTATACTTGCAGTTCTGAATTCATACTGTGTATTTTTAGAGCTTCTTTTCTAACTTCTTGGTGGTAAAAGATGTGGCAATGATTTCTTCATGCCAGCACAGCACTCTTTCTGAAGAGCATGCAATTGAAATTCAGGTTGACCTTGCAAATAAAGACCAACCACAGATGGCTCTGATAATACTGTATCAGAAGTGCCACATTTACATGTAGTGGTGGCATCAACAGGAAGGTACTTTTCACAGTTCAGCAAAAGCAAACACAAGGAAGCAATTATGGTAAATGCACAGCTTTCTACCATAGCTGCTGAAGGCACATAGAAGTAAAGTATTTACTCTCAGTGGTGGGTAGTTGGAGAGATTTACTTTTGTCATAGAAAGGCAGACAGAAGGTGTTGGCTGAGAATCAGAAAGTATTGCTGACTGGGTGGAAGGATGAAAGTTACTCCATGCGGGGAAAAGGAGGACGCAGGCAGCTTCCAACTTTCAGTCCATCCACAACTAAAACCTCTTGTAGTGTAGTTTGTGATGTCTCCATGTCTCTTTTACGATGTTATGAAATAGAAGCCCACATATGTCATTCATGCAAATTTCAAGCTCGCTTTCATTTTCCAAATATGCTAAATTTGCATAGTCACATTTATTTGATACAGCTTGTAGCTTCCACTCCAGACTGAGTTTTAGCTGCTCAATATTTCTATATACCTTCATGTGCAGGGCTGAGACACTGATCATAGCTGCTCCCATATTCGCTTAAGTCCAGAGCCCAGGCTCTGTCACCTCAAAGTTTTCAGCACACTAGGAATTTTTATAGGTTGGAGAAAGGCATGTTCAAGAACTCCTTTGAATATGTTATGATATTTGCATACACTTTTGTTCTCCAGTTGAAAACTGTTTTGAGATTTCTTGGGTTTTGTGGTTTGGGTTTTTTTAATGCCTACTTTTTATTTATCTGCTTTTTTTCTCTGAAGCACAGGACATGCATGCAACTCATGATTTCATGTGTATGTGATCTGGTTTTCAATACTTTTTTTAATTATTTAAAGGTTTCTTTGGCATTCAGGTATTAAAATACTGTAGCCAGTGAAAGTAGTAGAGGTTATCATGCTAAGAGTATTCTTGGTAGTGGGAAGAGAGGAGACTCCTAAATCTACTAACAGTTCTGTCTTGAAATATTAGAATACTATTTCTGAACAGAATTCCTAGCAGACACGTCACACTGGGTGCATTATGCAAACTGCTGCTATGAGGCACTCACTCAAATGGAGCAGGAGGAGTTGTCATTGTGAGTGTAGCAACGTGCCAAATGTGGCAGCCTGACTCTGCTTCAAGACAGAGATCCCCTTCTCTCGCCCATGCACCCCATGCAATTAATTACTGATTTTGACTAAAGAACTACTTCACTTCCATTAAAAGGAACACCTTGTTTTAATGACTGCAGTTTTCTATTAGGAGTGTGTTCATATTTGTGGTCATATGAGGTGTGCCTTGGGTTTTGATAGTCTTCTGTCTGTAGAAGCTTGGAACTGGCCATGGGCATGCTTGCTGTATTTCTCAGCAGCAGTCATTTCCTCTGCTGTAGTGGCAAAACCAGCTGTATTCAGTTTTGTGCTGCCAGGGCAAGAACAGCTGCTAGCAAGCTCCAAGTGGGTTAGACCCAGCTCAGGTACCTGTCTAAGGAAGTCACTCTGTTGCACGAATTCCATTCCCTCCTCTGGCTGGTCTGGAGGGTCACAAAGAATATAGTGGGGTTTTTTTCCAGTTAACAGTTTTATCACTCTGAGCTTTCTGGACCTTTTTACAAAGCACTTTATTTTTAATAATCTGTGTTAGTTCAGTTTCAGGAGAGACAAGGGAAAAATAAACCAAGTTAGCAGTCTGACATTCTCAAGCTTTGAAAAGACTGAGATTTGCAGCTTTGGTATATGTCCTCTAGAAAATGTATATAAACATCTGTTTCAGTACATTTCAAAAGTAATAGGTATTTGAGGACAAATCTATAACTGTAAAAGATTTGATTTTTTTTTTCTTGACTGGACTGGGACAAAGCTGTAAAATCAAAATGACTAATTTTGTTCTTAGGCAAGAAAAGGGAAATATCAATTTCTTTTCGTTTCAGAGGAAGTTGGACTTACAGCTGAGGGATTTCCTAAAACAAAGGAGAACTAAGTAACATCTTTGTATATTGGGACAAGTAAAATAACTATCAGTAATTAGTCAGGTATTCTTTAACAGGAAACAAAATCAATATGCTTTTCATCTTTTAATGAAAGATAACAACATAAGATAGTGCCATTTATTCTTTCTGTTATATTAAGTTCCTGTGCTGGTTTTGGTTGGCATAGAGTTAATTTTCTTCATAGTAGCTAGTATGGGGCTATGTTTTGGATTTGTGCTGAAAACAGTGTTGATAACAGAGGGATGTTTTCGTTACTGCTGAGCAGTGCTTACACAGAGTCAAGGCCTTTTCTGCTTCTCACCCCACCCCACCAGCGAGTAGGCTGGGGGGGCACAAGAAGCTGGGAGGGGACACAGCCGGGACAGCTGTCCCCAACTGACCAAAGGGATATTCCATACCATGTGACATCATGCTCAGCATATAAAGCTGGGGGAAAAAGAAGGAAGGGGGGAACATTCGGAGTGATGGCGTTTGTCTTCCCTTTCCTGGAGATGGCTGAACACCTGCATGCCAATGGGAAGGAGTGAATGAGTTCCTTGTTCTGCTTTGGTTGTGTGCACAGCTTTTGCTTTACCTGTTAAACTGTCTTTATCTCAACCCACGAGTTTTCTCCCTTTTACTCTTGTGATTCTCTCCCCCATCCCACAGGAGGGGAGTGAGTGAGTGAGTGACTGAGCAGCTGTGTGGGTCTTAGTTGCTGGCTGGGGTTAAACCATGACAGTTCCAAATAATAGAAGCTTTTGAAAATTGATATTCTATCACTTTTTGCCTTTATTTTCCCTGACCATGCTTAATGGTACTGCATCAGTTGCTACTTACTGGTGCCAAATTTTATTGCATGTTGCATTATTTATTTTAATTCATTTAAATGTTCCTGGCATTCTCACTGGTGGACACTTTACTTTGAAAAACCTTTCTTTGTCTTCTGGGCAAACACTCCTTTAAGTCATTCTGTTCTGACACCACGATCAAATAGTTTAAAGAAGACAGCTTAAAGCTTACCTCAAAGGATGGTAAATTGGTTTGGCAAAATCTTCTGTAGAAGGCAGTTGTTATCCCCAGGAATTGGGGATCCTTTTCAAAGAGACAGCCTGTCAAGATACCTCTCCAGCTCCAAATATATCATAACTGACTTTCTCTAGGGCAAGGGGAGTGAGAAGTGGCCTTAAAGAAAAAAGGAGTAGCAATCTCCTCCAAAAACAGTAGGTGTTTTCTTCAACTGATGTACGCCAGAGGGATCAATTTTACTGTGGTATGCACTGTGGTGAAGACAAAGCCAAAATTTTACAGGTATGAAGAGCAGAACCTACAGAACATTCAATCTCAATATCCCTTGTCTGAGGAAATATAGAGGGGAGATATTCCAAAATATTTGGAAGGCTTGCCTGAAGAAGACTATGTGGTTTTCATAATTGAAAAGGGATTTTATTCTCTTTTTTCTTTTTGTTAAACTCAAATCGGAACCTGTGTTTTAAAATAACCTCTCTTGACTTAAATCACCTTGTAATGGTCAAATTGAGTTTCTTATGTAATATCAAAACAAGTATTTGGATGTGGTTCTGTCTTTGCAGTTTTACAGTGGGAAATCAAAAGTATGAGGGGAAGGAGAGGAGACAGAAACGTCTGGCTAGGCACAGTGGAATTCTGAAGGGATACTGTGATCAAACTAGCTTCTAGAAAATGCTTTTGCATTATGCGATGTACTGGAAACCTCATAAATAAATAAGAAACTGTGGTTGTATTTTTTTAAATTACTTTCAGAAGCTCTAGCACATGCATTGAAACATCTCTTCGGCAGCTGTAGATACTGCTGGGAAAATGGAAAACTTCTGAAATCTAAACTATTTAAATAAGTGCTACTGTGTTTAAATGCAGACTTTTAAGTTGCTTATGGTTTTATTGTAGTTTAAATGATTAGTTTGATTTTTGGTGCCTAACTTAACTAACTGTGTGGTGAGGTTTTTTTTCAGGAGGAAGAGTTGAGTAGTTGTTCTTGTGTTTTCTCCTTCTCTCCCTCTCCTCCCAAAAATGTGTGGAAATCCTCAAATTTTTAATCATGTCTGACATCAAAACAAAGCACATTTTGGCTGAGGCTGGGGTGGTTTTGTTTTGTGTTTTAAGAAAAGGTGGTCTGTGAAAAGCTGTTCTGCCTTTATTTTCTGGAGAGGCTTTTGACATGGAATAATATTGTACTATTTGTGTCTGGAAGAACTGTACAATTGCTGAGAAAATTTGCTTAATTTCGTTGCAGTTTTAGCCTGTAAAATCTTTTTATATGTACTTTCAGAGCTCAAGCAAATTTAGTTATGGCATTTTCTGTCCCTTAAATGTTTTGATCTTGTTTTGCATAGCTGTCTTTGTATTGCGTATGACAGTGGAACTGAAGCCAAATAAAGGTGCTTCAGTAGTAAAGACAGATATTTGTAATACATGTAACACCTGTCTTTCTAATCCCCTTTGTAAGATGCAGAAATATTATCCCACACACTGTGGTGTTTGGGTTTGGTTTTTTTTTCCCCGAGAGCAGATTGTGCTGTAAAAGCATTACCTAACCTGTGCAATCCAAAAGCATTACCCTTGTCTGTGTGCTATGTGTAGCTTGGATACATCTTTCCTCCTTGTCACTTTAGCTCTGGGATGCACACAATCCCATTCTTTCCCCTGCTGCATTTTCAGAGCAGGGAGGCAGAGAGGACAGGGATATGTTTTGGCTGGATTCAAGTGATTTAGGGACCTAGACCTTCAGTCAGGTGTGCCACATAGTTTAGAAGTAGCCAGAGACTCTGATGTTTTGTCTAATCAGGTTTTGTATTTCTACCTTAAAAACGAACAAAAACCCCATGCAATCTTGATACACCTGTTACCAGATCAGCTTTACTGCTACAGCCCTCCTCCTTTATCCTATCAATATCCATGAAATTATTCCAGTACAAAGATTCACTGTATGTGACTATACTGACGTGCGTACTTATTGCACTGTGACCATACAAAATGAAGGGGATGATGTACTGTTTTAAATATGCTCAAGTCTGTGGCAGAGTTAGGAAGGCACGCTACACCTTGTCTCCTACTCATTTCTTCTACTTATGCAGTTGTTCTTGTTCCTTGTAGTGTGGCTTCCTGTTGTGGTGTATGGCTCCAAGCCCTTCTAATGGGGCAGAGTTCCTCTATCATCGAATTATTCGGCCTTTCTTCCTGAAGCATGAAGCTCAGCTCGACAGTGTTGTTAAAGACCTGAAAGACAAGGCTGCAGAGACTGCAGATACCATCACTAAAGAAGGTGGGGAAAAGATCATTTGCTAATTACATCAAGTAGGAGGAGTTTCCCTGGGCAATTCCAATATTACAGTTAGTATTCATCATTTTGGGGAAAACAATTGTAAGAAGGCTATGTAAATTATAATGGAGAGGGTAAATTTGGGTGAAGATGCGAGGAAAACAGAATTGCAGTGGATCTTACTTTCTAGGAGTGCAGTTATGCTAGAATGAGTGCAAGCTGTATGAGTGGGAGAAACAGCTAATTAGTTTGTGTGTCTTCCCCCCCATACATATCACTGTAAACACTCTCTCTAGAGGCAGATCCAAACACCCTCACAAGATACCTTCCATAAATACAGTTATTGTTTTGGTGTATTCTTGTATCTCCTAAAATACCATCTCAAATACCTGGTAGTATAGAAGGGCTGCCAATTGTGTAGTAAAGCAAATCTTTTAACTCCAATCAACAGCAACATGTGAAATGAAGTTTTCCCGTCTATAAGTTTTTGTACTTTTCTTTCCTCTGGAGATCAAAGGATTCTGAGCCCACTCTTAAAGAAATTACTTAGGTTTTTAATTGGTTAGAATAAATTTTATCACAGCCTGTAGATTGTTTAATTTTTGCTTTTAGTTTCTTGCATTCTATAGTGGACCCTCATACTCCAAAATGTCTGATGATCGTTTTATGAATAAGAGAAGGAATGTATTAAGTAGCTAAAATAAAGGTTTATTTAAATGTCACTTGAAAGGACGTTTATTTATAAAATATTTCAAAGCACCTTAAGTCTCCTTTCCGCCAAGCAACACATGCAGTCTCATTTCCTCTTACCAACTTAAGTAGTTTTCCTGTCGGTATTGAAATGGTCTGCCTTTCTCAGCTACGCTTGGAAATTTTGCTGCATGACCCTTCCTGAATCATTATTGTTAGACAAGTATCTTAAATAATGTTCTTCCATGTTGTACATGGGATTTTTCTGTTCTCATTCCATCACTTACTCTTTCATTTTCCTATTTTTACATATAAAGATTTCCACATACATACAATTTTTAAGAAATCATCCACACGCATATGCATGTACACACACACACACACACATTAGTGTTATTCCAGCCCTATTCCATCAGCTTGGTAGTAGATTTCTTGCTGTAAACCTGTATGTCCTAAACACTGTGAGCAGCTCTATTTTATTGATAAAATAGTTGTAAGTCAGTCTGTGCTGTTTATTGTGCTGCTCCTTGCTTACGGTTTATTTTTTTAAATCTTTGTGATCAGTTTTATCACTGTGTGTGTATGTGTATACAAAAGCTATGATTTTCTTTTGAGATGTTTCTTTTTTGACCTAAAAGGAACATTATTTTTTTTATGCAGCTCAAGAACACTGAGTAAGTCACTTAGTCTGTAGGCCTCTAAGATTAAACTTGCTTTTATTTTCCTGCAGCCAAGAAAGCAACAGTGAACTTACTGGGTGAAGAAAAGAAGAGCACTTAAACTATTAACTGGATAAAGTTTCCCTACCACCTCCTTTATGAAGCTTGATGTTACTGGGAACTGTGGTATAATTTTAATAATATTGCCTTGGAAACATTTTGATATATTAAAGGAATGTGTTCTAAGTTTGCTTACTACTTTGCTGTGTCTGTATAGAAAGTAAGAATTTTTATTTAAAAGCAATGCAGTGGGCAGCATCTGAAGCTTAACGAAAATATTTTATTCACCTTCATGCAGAAGAAATCTTTCAGTAATCTCTTTCTGCAGTAACATAAATAAAAAGTATATATCCCACAGGCTCTGCACTTTAGTTGTCTCTTTGCGTACATAATTGCTCTTAACACTTTGACTGCAGTGTGTCTGGTAACATGAAGCTATTGTATAAGGAAAATACTAGTCTGAACGGATCTTCTTGAATATACAGGGAATTATTGTGAGATGGCATAATGGATGTATTCCCCACCAATAAAGTTGTAAATGATGAAATTACATGTTCTAGGTGCCTGATGACAGCGGTTTTTCACTGTTGCATGTTTCATCGTAACACAATATTTGGTACAGTGTGTGTATTCTTAAATGGATAGATACTAAATATAGGAAAGAGTAACTTCATTCAAGTGATCCAGCTTATATTAGCATTAAGTAATTTGCCAGAAATGGATGCACTAAATTGCACAAGATTAGCACAAGATGACTAAAGTACAACTCCTTGCCTCTTCTTGCTAAATAAAGTTGTCATCTAGAATTGCTAATAGAGTGCCTTTTAAGATCACACTCAAAAGCACAAACCACCTTTTGCTAAGAAGTGATACCATTACAAACACTTTTTCTTAAAGTCCTGTTGAAATATTAACTGTCTTGGGTGTCAGTCCCCAGAACTGCATCAGTAATGGGATGGACTACCACCTCCCATGAGCTTTTTCTGCTCATAAAAATCTGAAGTCTCTTCTGACTTTACTAAGAAAAACTTTGCATGAGCACTGAAACTTCCTGAATAGAGATGCTGTTGTTGTTACTGGATATATTCCTGACCAATCAGTAAGAATGCAACCAAAGTCGTTAAGAGAATAAAGGCTTTTTTGCCATCAATGGAAAAGAATTTTTTTTCTTAAGATCTGAATCTGTATTCACTTTTTCACACTGCAGTATTTTCAACAAATTCAGCATGAATTACTGAAATCTCCCTGTTCTCATCTCCATGCTGACGTTTCTTTAAAGCACAGAAATGCTGTGACAGTTCTTAACTCATAGAGCACGCAGAAGGTAAGCTTAAGCTTTTGATAGGATAAAAAGTGATTTCTGGTCCACATTCTTAAAATCAGAAGATTTAATCTTAAAATAGACTTTTGAAGACTTTTGCCTTTCTGCAACAAGTTGGTATATAAACATTCACTGAATTTTCAGATGCAAGAACTGCAAAAGAATGAAGCACACAGTGCAACTCGGCAGGTCAGTTTTAAATTTGAGAGAGAGATATTGTAAGAAGAGATGTAAAAGTGTCTTAAGAGAAAGCATTTTAAGCTTTAAGCTGGAAAACACGGCCCTTATGGCTGTCAACTTGGATAGGGAAGTATGAGACCCCCTGTGCATCATTTTCTGTAGGATAGCATGCAGTTTGTCATTTGAAGGAAAAAATGTAAAATATCACAGCTAATCATTCCATGACAACTTCTTGTTATGAGTGGATGTGCTGAAGAGGATAAAGTTTACAGCAAAGATGTAGATGTAAGCGAGTAAAAAGTTTTAAGTCACTCGCCATTTAAGTGGTTTAATTTCTTGTCGTATCTTCCTCTGTCTTAAACCCACTGAACTTTTCTGTAAGCCATACGAAATCCTAGTGCTGTGTTTTAAACAATCCCAACTGTGCATATAGCAGTCATGTGGCCAGTGGAATTTAGTTTCACCTTTTGAAATAATAAGTAATAAATAAAAATAAAGATACTTAATAGTCTATTTGATTTAGGTACAAACTACTACATAACTAACTTCTCTAAAAACTACTGATGAATCTTAGACTTCCCAAGCCTAACGAGGCCCGTAGTAGAGACAGAACTTATTTTTCATTTCTCATACTACTCAATGGTTCTTCCACTGTTATTAATGGGGATAAAACGTTTCTGTGTAAGTGGTAAAATGTTCCTGTACATCTCTTTTAGAACTTAATAGGCTTTAGAACAACTTCTTGTCTTTACAACTTGATATTTCTTGACCAGCAGGTAAATTCAATGCTCCTTTGCCAGATTTCTACTTGAACTAGAACTACCATCTCTTGTTAACAGAACTTGGTCTTGTTGTTTGCCTTGGTGCAAGTAGAAATGACTGAACCTCTGCAGCAAGTTACCCTTTCCTGCAAGTAACTCCACTGGGCTGGCCCCACAGATCAGTGCTCTTCTCAAAGTCGTCTTCACAACATGTATGTGCAAATGTTGGTGCACACATCTACTCCATGTCTGTGCTGAAGTTGTAATGTGCTAAACAAAACCAGATACAAATAAAGAGATTCTTAGAGCACTGGCATGATGCCTCTGTATTTCTTAAGAACCCCATACCTCAACACTGAAAACCCGATTACTTTAAGAAGGCAGAAGGTCTTCACATGATACTCACTTTTTTTTTACCCAAACTTCATTGGTGTGGAACTAGTAGAAGCCTCTCTAAAAGCCTGAAGGAAGTACTTCTGCTTCATGACTGGATCTCGGGGTGCAACCAAGCTGTCTTAGAGCATCAGGCCTTAACAGAAGAGTTTGGAATACAGATCTGTTCTCAACAGCAAGCACCATGAGCGGCTGCCTATGCAGCGCAGCTTTCCAGACTTCATAGCCTCGCTTACCTAAGGAATCGTCAAGGTTTAGTGTTCTTTAGAAACAGAGAGAAAAATGGTGAACTACAGGGATTTCAAAGTTTTTTTCCTCGCCCATTGATTTTCTAGTGTTGCATATATGACCTAAACAAATAATGCTGCATAGTTATTGGCAGGTGGGGGGGTTACACTTACAGTTCTTTCTGCTACCACTGTACGTAGGACATTTCTTCTGCTTTACCCTACACATTTCCAAACTCAGCAAAAAGGAAAAAATGTTCAGAAACAACATTTTAAAAACCCAGAATCATTCATCACTTGTGATACTAAAATAAACCCAAAATTCTTCAAACCAAAGCGAGATAGTTAACAAAGTATAGAAATTCTTGTAAGTAGTGGAAAGTGTGACTAATATTTGCCAGGTCAAACCCTCATAACATTTTTTAATTTGACAACTTTAAGAAAGTGTCTTGAGTTTGCATTCCAGTCTTGTCAACTCTGTTTAAATAGTCTGAGAATCAACACAAAAATACTACGACCAATTCCTTAGGCACCTCCCACCCCTATTTCAAACTCGACCAACAATAACTTCCTTATGCAAAGGAGGAAGAGCAGAGTTTTAAAAAACGAAATCACAGATTCTTGGAGGTCATGAGAGACTGTCAGTATTTCCCATAAACTGCGTGTTTGGCAACCATGCAAATATAGTGAACATCAGTCTTGTCCTTCCAGAGAACTTCTACATCCAGCGTGAGGGAATGAAACAGTACTTGAGGAATAAGAACCTAGGACCACTAAGGGAGTCCTTGGTTGTACAACCACGTTGACATAACCATCTGAAGAATAGATTTCCTGCTAGTACATAAAACATTAAGATATTCTGGAGCAAAAAATCCTCAGGTGATTACATGAACTAGTCAAGTGAAAATAATTGAAGATGAACTTTTTTGAATTTAGCGTCTTTTGGAAGGCCATGTTGTTGATGCCTTTGCTGAGGCTGTGGAATTCCACAAAACAAGTAACAATTTATATACCTACCATTTTGTATTATTGCATCCTTGCAGGAGGAGCATTCTTAAAGCCTTCAATTAGACATGTCTAAGTTCTGCTAGCTGGAGAAAAAACAAAACAAAACGAAGAATCCACAGCCAAAAAAAAATCCCCAAACCTTGATAGAGAAAAAAAAGACACACATACTGTTTCACAAGAAACAGCACTGCAGTGCAGGCTACTCGGTTCCTACCTGGAGTGTCCCCCTGCTCTCTCCCAGGTCCCATACTACCAATGATTGTCAGTCTCCTCCCATCTCCCTTAACACCAGCCACTACAGCATATTCAATTCTCCCATCTTTTCAGGGCCTTTAGCAAAAGGCAGCTCATTTGGTAGTTATTTTACCAGATCATCTAATCTGTACCTAATCTGCAGCTGCATATGCTGATTGAACACCCAGCATATTAAATGCAGTTTGGTCGGAGCAAATTGCCAACCAAGAAGGATAAACACTCATTCTCCTTGCCTTTCCTTGTCCCATCCAGTTTCTTCACTGGATGATGCATTACCATTGTCTTATCTCCTAATTTGACCACTTAGCTGCTTCTATGACTAATGGGAACCTACTATCTTTGAGACCTCTGCTCTTTTTATCCTGTCAACCAAATGACTCGACAGGCTCAAAAGTTATAAAGCAATAGATGAAGAGAGTATTTGTACTAAGGCTTTTATCTTTAAGGGAAAAAAAAAAAAACAACCCTCTTTGGAAAGTAAGGGTTTTTTTATCCTAAGAGGTAAAATAACCCCATAAAAGCCAGTCCGTAACAGGAAGAAGCTAAATAACTGGTATCCAGGGACAGGATGTGTGGGAACGGTTCAAAGCTGCGCCAGGGGAGGTTTAGACTGGACATAGGGAAGCACTTCTTTACCGAGAGGGTGGTCAAACTGGAACAGGCTTCCTGGAGAGGTGGTCGATGCCCCAAGCCTGTCAGTGTTTAAGAGGCATTTGGACAATGCCCTTAATAACATGCTTTAACTTTTCGTCAGCCCTGAAGGGGTCAGGCAGTTGGACCAGATGATCGTTGTAGGTCCCTTCCAACTGAAATATTCTATTCTGTTCTCTTCTATTCCACGCCATGGCATGCCATTCCAGGCCATGCCATGCCATTCCAACACAGCTATATCTGCAGTTACAGACAGAGAAGGAAACAAGGGAGCCACTCCATCTTTCATGCTCTCAGTACAGCACATACAAACATCCTATATGTACATGCTGCCCTGAAAGGGAGTTCTGGCTGAAAGGCTCTAACCATTAAGCGCACACAAGGAACAGGATATACACACAGGCAAGTTTTTTAAGAACAGCTATTTTCCGCAGACCTGGTCTTTGAGAAATTTATTTCATGGCTGAAGGTGGAGAACTACATATGGTCATACGTTATTGTCACTTCCCAAGTTAAAACACATTTCAAAATAACCTTTTGAAACGCACTTTCTTTACATTAAGAACTGAATAATGGTGGTTGTGCTTCTGCTACAGCAGCTACATGCTCTCTTCTATATATCTGAAAGAATAAAGCATCTATCTCACAACAGTGCTGAATTTTCGTTTTTAGTCATTCCTTTGTTGTGTCATTCCTTTGTTGTTTGCCTGTGTCTTCAGATCTGCTTTATGCCCAGTACCAATGTTCCCATCCGTTAACTGACACAGAAATTATTAGGATTGTTATAAGGATTCTGAGCTCACACATCCATTTCAAATGTTTAGTCTTTGTCCAGGTACCCAAAAAACAGTATAGGAAAATAACAAGTATATACTTTTAATTAGCTAGACTAGTATCTTCTGGAGGGACACTACCTCAATATCCATATTCCTCACGTCTTGGATGCAGAGTAAATTCCCACTCAGCGATGCATGTCTGTGTCAATATTGCCACCTACAGGAAAGCAGAGACCACCGTCTTTTCAGTAACTATACCGCTTAAGCAAATTCCCACAGAAAACTGTGAGGGCAAGACAAGTGAAATAAAAAGACATCCATTATCACCCAGTTTTTCCCTCAAAAAAAGATTTTTTATTGATAGCATTGAGACCAACAGGTGCAGTACTTCTGTGTTTTTACAGCAGCCTTGCCTCCGCTCCCAGTCCCACAATGGCCTCTAACCATCTTCCCTGTTCCCAGGAACTGAGGGGGTGAAGGGGAGAGGGAAAGGGTGCTGAAGAAGGGGGAAAGACCTGCAGAAGAACTTGACTTACTATCTTGACCCACTTGTTTTTAATCCTCTAAGGAACCCAGTTTATTAAAAAACAGGAAATACAGAAATAAAAGTCTGGTTTGTAAGCTTTAACCCTGGCAGGAAAGGGGGAACTGTGTTTTAACTTTCTGATGCCCAATTTAGGAATAACTACTGCTGACACAGTGTACTTACTCTAAAGCCAGGTAGAAATCAAAAACCAGCAAAATGCTGAATTCAGTTAGAAATGGGTGGATAAGCAGGCAGGAGTTGAGGGAATCAGACTTCAGCTCCCTAACAGTAGTAATTGTCTGATTTCCTAGCAGTGCACAATTTGCTTAAAAAAAGTCAGCTTTACCCAAAATCCCCAAAGAATCACAGAATAGTTTGGGTTGGAAGGGATCTCTAAAGGTCATCTAGTCCAACCCCCCTGCGACATCCTCAACTAGATCAGGTTGCTCAGAAACCCATAGAGCTTTCTTTGTTAATTTGATTAAATCACGGTTTTATGTATTTGAGCTCAATATTACGCTTTTCAGAAATCTCTCAGTCTTTTTTGTGAGATCCTTACACTTTCAAATAGCTTCACTGTTTTGAGTTCTTTCATTGGGAAATTTTGGGAAGCAATGCCACCAAGATTCTTTCTCAACATACATACCATAGCACAGACAAGTTCCTAAGGTATTTAATTTCTGGCCACTGTAAACAGATATCCCATGAGACTTGACCTCCCCATTTTTCAGCTGCCTGTGGTCTAAGGCTCTGACTTACAATACTTGGGCATAACATGACCATGACTTGGCTGGAGTCACTCCCCTCCACTTAACACCATGGAGCCGAGTTATCTTGCACCAATTAATCTTCACAGAGCTCTCACTTTAAATGAAG